CAGACGTGGAATTGGAGGAGGGATCCAATGATGCCAATCAGAGGATGGGGTGAGGGTGACGCAGCTGATTTCGGTGATGGAGCCCATGTGAATGGCTCACAGCCATCTGATCATTATTTAATTTCAATTATCTAACCAACAGGATTATAACTACCAATTCTTAAAGGTTTCGTAGCTCAGCTATTGAATTCAACACAAAGTGTACTATTATTCTGGGACGGAGGTAGTACCGTACTTTAATTCAATTTGCAGTTTCGTCCTTGCGTAGTCGCGCGATCACAAACGGCCGATGACATCACCGTATCAAAGCAACGACGACTGTTAATTAAGTTCCCAGTGCGACACAGAGAATAATGACGACACCAAGTTTTGCTATGGAACTCTTAAATCGCGTAGGTTTGTGTCCTGATGTCATTGTTGAAAGACACTTAAGGACTGCCAAAATGTCATCCATTTGGAAGTGACGTATCAGACATCGATACTGCATTTCAATTTTTGACTCATGATGTCTGTCGTGAATCATTCTTTTCGTCGTAAGATAAATAAATACAAAATGACGTTACGTGTGTCGGTTTTGTACAGCAAGAATGACAGAGAATGTATATTCTTCGGAAACCAAATGGTCAGAAAGTCGTGTGCTCGAAATCAGGGTATGCGATTCGTCATATTTGTATTTATGTTCCAAAAACACTCCGGGAAGAAGAATCTTCACTTCTAGTTCTAGTACGAATGTATTCATTCACCGTTCCGGTTCAAATTTTGTTCTGTTCAAAGAAGCAATCAAAGAATAAGTAAAGCACATTGCTGGGATTTAAATGTCATTCCATCATCGATACGAAGAAGGGGGAAACTCTCACACTGGAACGCAGTGAAATAAAGAGCAAGAAGCACCCACAATAGTGATGTAGTGTGATTAGCACAACTGAAGACTAYGCAAAAACAAAAACAATAACTATGACAATAGACGACGCATTTCCAACACCGACGCCATGGCCAGGACACGATGCCTTCGGCAGTATGAACACAAACGCAAACACAAAYATTGATGATGACGATATCAATAGCATGATCGATGGCCTAGAACTCTTTTACAAGGGCAATTACTTCGAGGATAATATTTGTACCAGCACTGTTGTTGCCGAGAACAAGTCGCATAACATCAATCTAGGAATCGTATCAGACCTTGATCTCGACTTGGAAACAAGCAGAAAYAAGATCAAGGACTCAATCGCGAACACCAGTACGAACATGATCATAAGCACGGTCGTCGATGTGAACTGTAAGTCGGATAAAATTGTTTATATTAAGAAAGGACTTTCGAGAGACGCAACATCGAATGATATTGCACCTACCACAATTCGTACTCTCACARCTCCTATAGCGACACAAACAAAACCGCTACTAGTATCATCTACCATYAGCGACGACATCCAAACTCCAATCACCGCCGACGCAGCCAAAACAAAGTGCTTTGTCACAAACGATACAGCTGATAAGGCCTTTGCTCCAGATAAAATCGCTGTGGGTGCGAGTGCTGACAAGGCCCATCAGAACATTTCTGCACCAGCTTCTGCTGCTTCGGCCAAAGGTCACGAGACTTTACAATCCCTCGTTGATAACGGCACGTCGAAACCAACGGATCTGTTTCASACTACCACTTGCTACAGCAATARCAGCAGCAACGTTTGCATCAACATTTCCATCAACACATCCACYGACTCGCAATCAAGAACCGAGAAAAACAWCGAMGATAGAAAGATYGACAGGAGCAATGATCCTCGGWTGTCGTTCCAAACRGTTCTCGAGCAGCAACGAGCAACGATTGAAAGAAACCAACAAATAATCGAGGCGCAACAGAACGAATTACACAAACAGAAACAGAACACCCAACTGCAACAGAAAGCCCTGGAACTTCCCCAAAAATCAAAAACAAAGGACCAAGCAAAGGGGAGTGGTGTGCAGCAAATTCAACCCACRGAAAAGTTAAAGCACTACCAATTTGCCGCGATCAAGCAAAGARCAACAACAGTTGTCTCCCCCATRGCGGCCCCCCTACCGACGCCAGTCAAGAGCTGTATTGCTAGCAGTGTCATTTCTCGCGAGAAYAGCAGCGACAACAATAGCACTATCAACGAAACGTGTAGTAGCAGCTCCAATAGATGGAAACTTTCCCCGGCTGGTGACACCGAACAGAAGATTCTGGGAAATAACGAYTGCTGCGGCAACGGCATCGGGATCAACAACAACAGCAACACCTCGTCGAACGAAAACGTGAGTGMSCGCAACCRTCACAATGCGGGCATCCCTGCTTCCACCAAAACTGCAAATGTTTGTAACCACCACCAMCACAAGAATGTCGTCTGGCGAGATGCGAATCCCMAAACTGTRGCGATGACGAACATGAGGACATCCGGCAACAAACATAACTTGTCCATGGTTGATCTCGAAGTTCGTCGGTAAGCATATCAACAAATCCTTCGAAACTACGYGTGCCACCGGTGTTTGTTCACGGTATAATTTATCAAAAATGATTATWGTRCCAATCTCACATCTTTCTTGTAMAAYATGTCCACAATACTTTATTTTCCAGCGAACGAAACCGCAAGCACGCTAAAAAGAGCCGCCTMCGAAAAAAATCGCTTACGTCCGACCTGGAACAATCCCTGGAATGGCTCCGGAACGAAAATGCGAAATTTAGGGCCTGCATCGAGGACCACATCGCCCGTAAAAAGGAGCAAAACGAGAGTAACGAGCAACCAACAAACAACAACAAAAAATAYAGCATCGAAGGATTATTGGAAGAACGCCGCATCCGGTCTCACGATCGATTCGTTTGTTGCATTCTCGGGGAAGCAAACCAAGTGGCTTCCAACGGCARCAGGAAGACTACTAAAACCAAAGGCAACCGAAACCGAATTAAGAATAACAGCACTAACCAGCCTTCGCTTCGAAWWATGCCACATGGAAGAGGCGCTTCCGTAAATGAGAAAACTCTCAAGGTTCTCAGGGGGTTGTCGAAAGCTCTTCTTGCTTCCCGAACTTCACAGCAAAACAGATATCAAATGTTTGCGAATCAGTCGATGCCTCTTACAGAATAAAAACGAAACAACGGGAAACAAACCTTGCTCTATTTTTATTCTATTTTTATCTTCCTGAGAAAATAAAGTAACGGCCACCGAGTATGTACATATCGAGACCGACGGAAGTACTGMCATTTACATCCCCTCCTAAATTTTATTCTTCAACACCAATCGTCAACAAWAATAACACAAAAAAGGATCAGACACAAATTTGCGTGGTGAAGGATCGAACAAGCAAAAGAAACCTCGATACACRTCGCAATGGATCAGGATCACCTTGTCACATAATACGCACATGCAAAAAACATCATACTACTATTCACGTAAGAAATGCATGAAAAAAAATGCCAAAAAATGATTCGACTACCTTTCCCCCTGTAAATATTGTCGAATGGGAATTGGAGTAACGCAGCCACGTCATATAACCAGGAGCTAGTCATGAAAAATAACATTGTGATCGACTGGCATACATATAGAATTTATTTCCGATTCCCTATTATCTTGTTYAACTAGACTAGTAAYTTGTTCAATAGATCTTCCGCATCCCCCAAGACACGTGCCTTTTCYTGCACATGACTCAYCACCATCTCAATTTTTTGTTTYTCCTTGCTTTGTCTTGTTTTTCTTTTCGCCATCCTTCGTCTCGTTGTTTCTTCAATAWYCAACGATGATGGATCAAGTTGCTGATGATTGGAAAAAAGTGTTAYCACTGGTGGCATGTTTTGCGAATCATTRTAATTCAGTGATTTTGTGTCGTTGCTTTTCTCTTCAGTAACTTGTGGACGGTCACTRTAARAATCATCGTCTTCATCCTCGCGGTTTTTGTATCGGAGCTGGCCCATGCTGGTAGAAGCGCRCATAGATCCCRCCGTTGYCATTCGGGAAGACATTGGAGTCGATTTTTTGGTCTCTTCTTTGGTAGGGACGGCGGCTGTATGGTAATTTTCATTTCCATTTTTGCAATCATTTGAAGCWKKTGTTACGCGGTTGGCAAYCAAAGTCTGTTTCCGCGTTGTTGTCATTTGCGATGCAAAACACAAAAGGGTCTCTARACGTTCCACGAGCCGATAAGAGTCCTCAGCAGAGACGGTTGATCGAAACTTTGGCATTAAGTAGTGAGAACAAGTTGAAGGAGGACGTTTAATCCMTCGGTCGTTTCCCTCGTCATGAATATACCTAAACCTAGTGCCGAYGCTGCTCAAGCTATCATGAGGCTCTTTCAAATCTGATGTGGTATATTGTGTACCKGTGTTGGTATCAATTGCACGAAGGTGGTTTTGGACAATGCCCAGCGGAGTTTCTCCGGTGTAGTCTTGGACGTTGACCCCGTTTGGATTAGCCATTACCAAAAAAGTTGCGATGCACTCTGCCTGACAACAGTAATCGGAACRATGAAAACCAGAATCGKATTGTTCTTCCTTCTCGTTTACATAGAAACCATTGGGATAATCGCATCCATGATCACTTCTGGGATGGCCATGATCCGTTGACTTTGTTTTTATCTCAGTTGGGGTTGGGGTTGTCTCAGTTTCGTTCCTTTCGCAGATATTATTACTACAGGTGTTGGGGTTATTGTTAGTTGTAGAGTTGTCATAGATGCAATTGCGGAGGATCCACCTGACAATTATGTGCAGAGGAAGCTCCTTTGTTGCATTTTYATKGTGAAAGGCTCCGGATAGATGTCGATCCAACAGGATGCGGATCACACCAAGCTGCAGTTCAAGTATTCTGTGTTGTTGTTGCTGTCGCTGCAGCTGGAAGATCCTGTCACCAGCTCCACCRGTTACGGATTGTGTTCTGTAGTTCTGTATCTCACATAAGGAAGCGCAGGCCATGTGAAGAGGCAGATATCCATATTCTGTATGGTCAGTTACGTTCCTGTTTTCCTTCCGGGTTCTATCCATAGTGCATCCACAACTGCTAATACAAGTCTTCAGAGCATCCGGGTTGGCATCGATCAGAGCCTTAACGAGTTCCAATTGTGTGCTGATTTCTTCATCTTCCACAAAAKCATGTTCTCGTTCTTGCGACAGGACTGCAGTTGATTGTTGCAAGTTCTGTCGAGAGAACAATGATGGTGACGTCCATTGTTGTCCCTCACCTATTATTYGGTACTGATTGTACTTGAGATCAGTTGGACCACTCACAAGATTCGAATTTGTACTCATTTGAYCCATCGTTGTTGTTGGCATTCTAGTCCTGCCAATTTCTCGGATCATTTCATGCAGTGCCAGAGAGCAAGAAACATGATAACTTGAGCCGTTATTAGTAGCAATAGCAGTAGTATGAGRRATGTTTTTATCCTTGCAACAACACYTGGGTAAGATATGAGTTTTGACTTCCATGGTGGCCTCAGTCGGGWAATAGCGAACCCGCTGCAATGCCAGTTTGAATTTGCGCCGACGAATTAAACCCACCAATATAGGAGTCGTATCATTATGGCCAATGCTACTTGTTTCGTCACTRTTATTCATTGTTGTGGCATAGCTCGAGCCCGTTACGCTCGTTTTCGTCTTGTTTTTGTTCTTGTTGCTACTGTTGTGATTCGGACAAACCTTGAAGAGAAACGGCGACGGGATTTCTACGATTGAAACAGCCTTTGCTATTTCCCCCTCTTCTGTCGTTTGGAAAATTTTCACTTCTCTTTGCCTGTGATGTTCCTCTCTCCGATGATTTTCATTCTTGTGTGTGGGCTCATTTTGGATACTTTTATTTTTTTCTCTGTGGACTTTAATGTGTACTTCGTTGCAGGTATTGGTGTCGTTCCTTCGCCCACCTTCGCCTTTGTYAGATAGATTGTTGCTTGTCGATAAAGATATAAGAGAGCGTCGATGTTTACAATGATACCGTTGTCGACAAGAGTTGTTGCTTTGATAAACATTTTTATTTTTGTTTTTCAAATTGTTCGAGTTATTGTTTGGAACCAGAGACATTTTTGAACTTTTGTTTTTCTCGATGTCACTGGAGTTGCTATGATCTCTCTCGCAATCTCGTTCGTTACTATTTGTGATGAGCAGATCTTGCATCRTCTCGAACAACTTGGTACGACGATGTATGCCATGGCGAGACCGAGTCCGAATGGGAGAATGGTCCGAGTCGTGCTCATAACTGCAGATATTCGAGTCGTCCAGGTTACAGCAGTGATGAACGTTTCTTTTGCTCRAATCCTCTTTGGTATCGTCTTCGCCCTCAACCTCGCTGGTCCTTTGATCAGGAGTTATCCCAGCAGGAACAGCCCCTGCAGTGCTCTCAATACCATTGCCTGCTTTATTCGCATTAGAGGGCATGAGGTGTAAACATGTGTTTTCGGTTTTATTTGTATACCACATATTGCTCTCTTTCTCCAAGAGAAAGCKGTCGGGAGAACAATCMTGATTTTGTTTGTTGTTATGAGCTACTTCTACTATTTGCAGGAGTTGTGGCAGTGTCAGCTCSTTGGAAAGATCTTCAYCATCGTTTGGGTTGAGAACTCCGTCTTGGTGTTCGTTTTCATCTTCCTCACCGCGTCGYCGTGGGAMTGTGTTCGTCGCTGACCYTATCTCATTGGTAGTATTTATAGCGGTTGCATTTGTGGATSTTTCAACTGGTTTTGRRAGAGCATTGTGGYGATTGCTTCTCCTGCAGATGTTCTTTGTATTKTTTGCAAGCCTCTGCGCCTTCATCATGATAGATCGCACTTCTTCGGCAGCTTGMGCTACAAGCCTGACATCGTYGCCAACGTCGTCAAGATCATGTTYGTAGTCGCTAGGCTTGTGTCTGTCGTCATTTTTTCCCCGAATCCTTTCATCGATGTAAGGTTTGATGATGCTGTCGTCTCGATTTTTACTATTGTYGCTATTTTCTTCGATTTGGAAGGARGGGGGGGAAGAGGATKGGAACGATGCTGATTCTGCTAGCAGAGATGAGCACGACAGCGATGAGGACSGGATCRATGTCACCGATGGTTCGCAATCTGGATGSGTTGTCGTTGTTATTTTCCTTGTAGTGGAGAATTGCTCGTGATCGCGATCATCGCAAGAACACTCGCTCCGTTGCTGCTGTTGTCGTTGAAAATGGCAATTGTGTTTGTAGCTAAACGCAGCGTCGTCGGTCCCCAGAGATACGATCCAGCAYAACGAAGAAGATGGMRAATAGGGATGGCCAACAGTGGCACCGTCGCTCTTTTGAGCCTTAATCGCATTTGTACCMGAGCCAGGACAAGAGCCAGTAWAAGTGCTCTGAGTACCATTGTCAATATTACTTTTTGTGTCAGTGCAAAACCTAACATCARGATTCTTCGTAGAATCCMAAAAAAATGKTTGGTGCGTTGATTTCGAACAACTACTACGACTGSCGTTATTTGTCGTCGAAACTTCRTTYGACGATGYAATAGAAATGGGACAGTCGTAGGAAGTCCCGGCTATTTGTTTGTGCTCTACGATCGTGCCGCTGCCAATTTTGTTGATGTTCCTACTGCTGCCAACGTTGTTGATGTTATTGATGCTGCTGCTTCCATTGCCGTTTTCACTTTCGCAACCGCGAGCACACGATGGATGCAACTCGTCCGTGCCAGAGCTGTGATCATAGTTGCTATACTGTTGATGGTGGACGTTGCCATAGTTTGTTACATGTCCCATCGTTCTTGTGTTTGTTTGTTCATTGAAGGCCGATTATTGGCTAAGACAAATATGCGATGGTCAAAGTAACTTTATGTACTTCAAAACAATCCCAAGACAAAATGATACGGTGTGATAAGGTGGAATATCGAAAAGCATAAGGACCCATCCGATCAACCAACCAAAACAAAGATTACCTCCAACAGTTACGTACCACACGGTACGACGAGATTTAGGTAAGGTATTATTTCGATGTATTATTTCAATTACGATGCCTTCCTTAATTTGACGCACACACACCAAGTTTGAGTAGTACAAGAATTACTGAATTGCTCCTCTGCTACTACTACTCGGTTTTCCTTGCTCCATGATTTTTTTCATTCAGGTTTGCATTACAGTATTTCTTTTGAATTGGCGATAAGAGATGATCTCGGAAACATTCCCAGGCTCGCCAATCTCACTAAAAACTMATTTCTCCTGGCCTAATCCTAAAGATGAGTAGGAAATGACTACTACTCGCACCGTACGATTCAATGAAGAAAAATATCCCTAAAAATAATACTTTAACAGATATGCATACTTGGGTAGTACTTGCCACGAACGGAGTTGAATCCTACCGAACAGGCGTACTCCATGTGCCGATTATGGCCTCCCAAAAATGCTTCGTACAACTTCTCTTAATTGGGTCATTATGTATGGAGACATATTTTTCCTTGGAATCCTTGACTGAATGTATTCAGTCTGGTTTAATRAAAATCCCAAATTGTTCCCGCCACTGAAATCTTGTCAAATTAGCGCAAATATACGGGATTCTAAATTCCAAAAATGGGGGGAAATATATAATTTGAGCAGGCCTCTTGTTTTTCCCAATTTCGATTAGGATTAGGATTAGGATTAGGATTACGGGACACAGACTCAAACTTATTCGTGCTCATAACAGACCACCTGAATAAATCTACTACAAGTTCGTAGAGTATGGAGAGCCCAGGAACCATGTCGATTTCGATGTTTTTAGAAAAAAATAAATTCTCCGGTCCCCTTTTTTCATTTTGTGATCGGTTTTGATCACAAAAAAATGTGATCAGAAATGATCACAAAATTGATGAAATTCTTGATCACAATTTTTTGTGATCAGTTTTGATCACATTTTTTTCCAACGGATTAGAATTAATATTTACTTTATTATTCCATGAATAGTTTAATTATGTATATATATATTCATGTATCTACTTATATATAGTCATATTAGTAGCACGTCGGGTTAATTCTTAATAGGGCATATCACTATGCTCTTGGTACAGGACCGGTTTACTACTAGTACTAGTACAAACGCGTAGAATGTTGGTAATACAGGACTGGTGTACTATTAGTAGTAGTAGTACAAACGTGTAAAATTATTGTTATTATTTATATTAGGGTATTTAGATGTACACAAGACAGTTCGAATTTGTGATCAAGATTGATCACAAAAAACTGATCACAAATTTGTTATTTCTGATCACATTTTTTTGTGATCAAAACTGATCACAATTTTCGGTACCCAGAGGGGGACCTGAGAATCTAATTTTTCTCAAAAAATTGAAATCGACATGGTTCCAGACGTTTCGTTCGACAATAATTCGATTTTTTTTTATTCTCCCGTCTCCATTTCCCTTCTCCCCTCCCCTCCACACGCAAAAACTTGTCCAAAAATATTTTGTGGTCCTTCTTACTACTGGAGGAGGTAAATTTTATGGTTTCCTGAGAATTACTATTAGTGCTTACTACTGGAAAACCTCTATTACTACTTACTAGTAGTGGGGATGTTACAGTAGTGAGCACTGCAAAATGCTGTGTTAGGGGTTTTTTGTTGGTGCATGTGCTCCCTTCTCGCAGCACAAACAAATGAGTGCTTTCTCAAGTACTAACCAATGAATTTACCTCCAGTAGTAAGGACCTCAAATATTTTTGGACTGTTTTTGCGTGTGGAGGGGGGGGGGGGATGGAGACGGGAGAATAAAAAAAATCGAATTATTGTCGAACGAAAGGCTCTCTCTTTAGTCAGACTGAGAAAGCACGATTCATTCTTTTCGAATCTTTTCGAATGTACGGTACGAAAACGGAGCTTGACGTAAAATAATACTTAGAATTCAGATTCATCTAGATGCGATGACAGAAAAATTCTTCAATTCAATATGCATCTATGAGAATCAACCCCCCTTTTAAAAAGTCGAACAAAACATTGGTTATGTGCGCAGCCCGAACATTTTGAATTGATAAGAAAGAAGAGTCCAGATGGCATCTTTCAATGACTCCTTCGCYTTTTTTCAATGAAATGAGACTGCATCAACGAAAAAGAAAGTACCGAATTACCTCTAAGCCCAAGATTCATCAATATTCATCTTTTCTATTCGCATGCTATGTACTTCACTCCACTTTGGAAGCACACGGTCCCTAAAATAGATCAATATGAATCATAAACCGTACGTG